GGAGGTACAAACTACTGAGTGTAAGATAAGCTAACAAGGACATATAGTACAGCACAGGAAATATAACCAATATTTTGTAATAACTTTAAATGAAGTGTGACCTTTAAAATTTGTACAGGGGAGACTTCCCTGGCAGTCCAGGGGTCAAGACTCCATGCTTCCAATGCAGGGGGTGCAGGTTCCATCCCTGGTCAGGGAACTAAGATCCCACATGCTGCATGGCACAGCCAAAAATAAATAAAATTTTTTAATTAAAAAAAAAAATTTGTATAGGGAATTCCCTGGCAGTCCAGGTTAGTACTGGGTGCTTTCATTGCCATGGGTCCGAGTTTGATCCCTGGTCAGGGAACTAAGATCCCTTAAGTCGCATGGCACAGCCAAAATAAATAAACTAATAAAATAAAATAAAATTCGTATAAAACAATTTTAAATGAAGTCACATTTAAAACAATTGTATTAGCCTCAGTCACCTGTGTTAAAGTACCACATAGCACTATGATCTTAACTCCGGAACTAGTTCATTTTTTTTTGTCTATAGCCAGAATGTAGTCATCTTACAAATGGTCAAAGAAATGGGTGAGAAAATAGGTCTGAATTGGCTAAATCCACCCAAACATTTTAATACTGTTGCAATTATGTACATATACACATGCAAGTATTTTGAGTCAAATATACTGAAGATACTCCTAAGTCACTATAATTAATCTACGGGATATTTAAAGATTCATTCAGTGATTTGCCAGCTCTCTCTCTCAATGTCCCTTTACACGACAGAAAACTGTTAAGCTTTCAAACCTTAAAGCTCTGGTCCCAATTATGACTGTCATTGAATATGTAATACAGCACTTCAGCTAGGAGATAGAAAAGAGGGTAGATATTTAAAAAGAAGTATTTCAGTGTAGGAGATATGAGAAATGAGGCTGGAAATACAGAAGATCCTGAATACCATCTCAAGGAGTTTGAACTGTATTCTAAAAGTCCTTGAAGATATTTTTGAGGATGAATAAAAGAACAGAGTAATGGAAGAAACAATAACCACTATTTTGAGGTCCTAACATTGGACTCTTCTGTGACCTTCTGTTGATAAACAAATTTCTTCACTTTTCTGGGCCTCAAATTCTTCATCTGTTAGAAAAAAGAATTGAGACAGAATCTAGTTCAGGGCCCATTCAGCTTTGGAAAGTTCAGTAATTTAGACAGAAATTATGCTTTAGGAATATCATATCTGACAGACACACTGGAGCTGGGGGAGAAATAATAAGCAACATATCCAGTAAAAGAGGAAAGCAAATAAAAGCAGTGAGAACTTAATAGAGGATAATAAATATAGAGTATGACTAAGTGATACATGGGGAAAAGAGCATCCTGACTTAAGTGAATGATTTACGGTAAGCATCACAGATTAGGATATAAAGCTTTGGGAAAGGTATGGAAGGGCCTGAAAGTTAGGTGAGAGACTTTGGCATAAGATCTGCAAGCAAGAGAAAGCTGATGCGGTTATCTACATGTAAAGTGCAAAGGGCCTAAATGTAAAATAGAGGAATATATTCGAGGCATTTTCAAGGGGGGAAAAAGTCAAGGTTTGATATATGTTTGAATACGGGAAATAAAGGAAAAGAAAATTAAATGACAGACATGTAGAAATTACTAATTCCTTAATTGAACAGACTCAGCATTAAAATTAATCAGAAACAATTCAAATACTGATCTTGGACTTTATGACAGATTTCAGCAATAAAGTGCTAGCGTGCATGCTTTTACTGAAGTTTTTAATCTTATTTTAAATATGTCACCTGTGTGAATGCACTGAAATTTTCAAATCACTGTTAGCTGAGAATTTTCAGAGTTAGTACAAATGCAAGATAACCTTGCTAGAAAATGGAATAGCAAAGCCATTAACTGAACAAAACCACCTTAAGTTATATACAAAAAGGAAACAGTAGTAATTTTTTATATTGCTTTCAGGAGAAAATGAGTCAGATACATAGCCACAAAGATCAAAATATTTCATTTGAACTGAATTATTCAGTTAACCTTTTTCTGTTGCGTGATTATTTGATTTATGACATTGACCTCTGATACTAATATATCTGGCATGCATATATATATATATATATATATATATATATATTTTTTTTTTTTTTAACCAGAATAAAACAGGTAGCTATACTATTACCCAGATTAAGTCCTTTTAATGCTCTTTGCTGAAATCTTTTCTCAAATTGTAGTTGAAGCTGCCAGGAGAAAACTTAAGGCATTATATACTTAGGCTAAAATGTTCTCCATTGAAATGAGGTGTAAATAAAACTATAAGGTTTTTAAGGTGTAAACAAAATTCTAATTGCCTTAGAGTTGAAAAAAATTCAACTTTGATAGAAATTAGCTTGGCTCTGAGAATCAACTCTAATAAGATAATGATTAGTCACAAAGACTTGAAAATGAAGGTTAGAAAATATTATATCAGGCTTTCAGGAAACAGCTCAAAATATAGCACCTAAAAATTAAATATTTTAATAAAAACATTGTCAATAGAATTCCACTTAGAAACTACTCCAGGATTTTTGTAAGAAAACTAAGCACAGATGCTAACAAAACACTTGCCTAGTTACTGAAGTCATAATGTATCAATAAAATATCAGATTTTATTAAAAAAAAAAACAATATATATCAGATTTTGAAAAACTGTGATTAATGACAGGTCCCAGAAAATCCATAAATAATTTCCTACAGCACAAATAGAAACTGTTGAGCTTCCCTGGTGGTGCAGCAGTTAAGAATCGCCTGCCAATGCAGGGGACACAGGTTCGAGCCCTGGTCCAGGAAGATCCCACATGCTGCGGAACAACTAAGCCCGCATGCCTAGAGCCCGTGCTCCGCAACAAGAGAAGCCATGGCAACGAGAAGCCCACGCACCACAACGAAGAAGAACCCCCGCTTGCTGCAACTAGAGAAAGCCCATGCGCAGCAACAAGGACCCAACTCAGCCAAAAATAAATAAATAAACTTATTAAAAAAAAAATAGAAGTTTTAAAAACAAACAGTATAGTATACATTTAAGTAATTATAATACAAATGTTAAGAGCTACAGACAATAGAATTCCACCATAACAGCTATTCTACTGGAACAATACTGGTACGAAATTAAAACAAATTATATGCAGAAAAAAACAGGTAAACATGCTTAGTTTACCAAAATACCAGTACACAGCACTTGTTTCTGGACACAAAGTAGCTGCTAATAATTCCTGTTTCAACAAAACTAAGTCATTGGGACTTCCCTGGTGGCAGTGGTTAAGAGTCCTCCTGCCAATGCAGGAGACATGGGTTCGAGCCCTGGCCTGGGAAGATCCCATATGCCGTGGAGCAACTAAGCCCGTGTGCCACCAACTACTGACCGTGTGCTCTAGAGCCCATGAGCCACAACTACCGAGCCACGTGCTGCAACTACTGAAGCCTGCACGCCTAGAGCCCGTGCTCCGCAACAAGAAGCCACCGCAATGAGAAGCCCACACACCGCAAGGAAGAGTAGCCCCCGCTCGACGCAACTAGAGAAAGTCCACGCACAGCAACGAAGACCCAACGCAGCCAAAAAATAAATAAATAAATTTATTAAAAAAAACTAAGTCATTATCAGGTTCCCCACTATTTAACACAGAGGAGAAATATTTAGATCTGAATAAACATAATCTTTAACTATTATTTCATATTATTTTCAGTTGTCTGCAGAAGTAACTGTTGATCATTTAACCCCTCAAATCAAGAGTAATTAAAATAAAAACCCTAATATATCCATTTCCTTAAAGAGAAAGGTCACCGGGACTTCCCTTGTGGCACAGTGGTTAAGAATCCACCTGCCGATGCAGGGGACACTGGATTGAGCCCTGGTCTAGGAAGATCCCACATGCTGCGGAGCAAATAAGCCCGTGCGCCACATCTACTGAGCCTGCACTCCAGAGCCCGCGAGCTCCAACTACTGAAGCCTGCGCGCCTAGAGCCTGTGCTCCGCAACGAGAGAAGCCACCGCAATGAGAAGCCCGCGCACCACAACAAAGAGTAGCCCCTGCTCGCCGCAACTAGAGAAAGCCTGTGCGCAGCAACGAAGACCCACCGCAGCCCAAAATTAATTAATTAATTAATTAATAGAAAAAGAGAAAGGTCACCTATATAACAAGATAATCATGTCCATCATATTTAGAACACCGAAGTTAGACGATCACATTGTCTCTGCAACTGACCTCAAATAACAAAATTTTAAGTAAAATGCAGCAAAGAACTAGTACCAGGTATGTCATAAATAAAAATATATTCAAATTAACAGAATAAGGTGAAACTTTTCTGGGTACTCAAAGAAACCCAAAATTTCATTCTGTAAACTCCTTAGGAAACTTGCTTTAATTTTCAAACCATAAGTCAAGAAACAGTAAAAAAAAAAAAAAAAAAAAAAAAAAAAAAAAAAGTCTTCCTAAGAGCAATGGGAAGAAATATGGAAACAAACACTTTCAACGACATATTTTGTTACTTTATTTTGAAAATGACTTTTTGTTGACTTTATTTTGAAAATGTAAATATTCATTTGCTCCTTTTACATCTATTTATCATTTTCCTTTGCTTGATAAATTCTTTAGAGCTGCTGTTTCTACTTTAAATTCAAATAACTGAAAACCAGTCATGTATAGTTTTTATAAAGTATGGATTAATACATTTCTTTTTAAGTATAACTTATGAATACTGACACCTTAACATGACAAATGAGGAACTTCTAACATAATTAAACCAATTAATCAATTTAATGTTTGAAAAACTATATATAACTGTCCAAACTGCTGTGTAAAACATATTTTGATAGTTGGTCCATGAATTTTTAAAAGAAGCTTCACAGATAAGCTTAAAACATACAGCATTTGCAAACTTTTTTACAATATTATGCATAGCCTAATTCACATAGTTTTATCTCCAACCCGACATACATCTACAGTACATGTGTTCAGAAGACGACTGACCTGGCTGAGATACCGCAGTGGCTGTAAACTGAGTAGCCCATGGCGGATTCTTCTGTCCTCCAAACTGAGCCATGATAAAAGGGGGAGGGAGAAAACCTTCACTTGTTTGTCTTCTATAGCAGCGATCTATTAAGAAAGGATCCACAGGTTAAAGTTCAACCAAACTACAAATATCACAAAAGTATTATTTTAAAGAAATGTTCAATTTGTCAAGGACATCTTTGTAGGCCAAGTTATTTAACAAGGGGCATATGAACGTCCGATATGCAGGAAAAACATTTCACATCAAGTAGTTCACCAAAAGTACCCAATTTCAATATATGACATTTGGGGTAGACTTACAAGAAAGGCACTTCCTTCTGCGACTACAAACTGTCACATTTAAAGAGAATACCATCTGTTGTTTTCTATCCAATTCTTAACAATAAAAAGTACACAGCCTTACGTTCAAAAGAAATATAGCCTGCGTGTTTCTTTCGGCAATGAGCTGGGGGCTGAAAGTGGAGAAACCAATAACGGAAGCTGGGACGAGACACCGAATAAGGGGATTCAAGAATATCATTTAAATAACGAATATCTTCTTACTTTCTAGAGCAGGGAAGGAACTGGGGGGCTCCTTTTCTCTCCCCTCCCTCGAGGGGAAAGACAGCTGAAATAATGGCTGCCCCTTAAAGAACCATCGCGAAGACCCCTCCACCCAAAATCAAGCCAGAAGAGGCGAAGATCTCAGCCCGCGCACTCCCTTTCCCCCCACTCCTCGGAGAGGCCAGAGCTCTGCCACCCATCTTCCTCCAGCCCTAGCTCCTCGCGGGCCGCAGACCAGGGGAGGCGGAAACCTCCGTCCCACGAGCCAAGGTGAACGCCAAGAGGGGGATACCGAGAGCCCTGATTCCCTTAAGCCCCCGGCGGGACGGAGAAGGCCTCCATCCCCCAAAAGCCGTGCCGCCGTGAGCGGCCCCGACGTCCCGGACCGCAGCCCAGGAGGCTAAAGCCTCAGCGGCTCGAGAGCTAGGGACGGCGGTCAGCAGTTCCTTCGAGGCCGCCAGGCCGAGGATGAGGCTGATGGTCGCCGGGGACACCCGAGGGGCCGCCGGAAAAAAGCGAGGCGGTGGGGGAGGGGCCGGCCGCGCGGGGCCTGCTCCGACCCGCACAAAAGGGACCGTGTCCCTCCCGTCCCAGTCCCACGAGAGGCCCACCGTCGCCGGCCTACGGACGCCGTGCTACCAAATCGGTCGCTCCCAGCCCTTCCGCGGGTCCGACTGGACGTTAAGAACCCCGGCTCAGCCGCCGGCCGCTCCAACCGCGAGGACCAGACCTTCACCTGAACCCGGTCCCCGCTAACACCGAAGCCATTTCAAACCCGTCAGCCTTACGCGCATGCGCCAACTTCCCCCTTTTCCTCCGCGCCTCTCCCCTCCTCCCTGTCTCTCCGAGGAACGGCGCTTACGAGCCTGCGTTCTACGTGCGCGCTTACCAGCGAGACTTCAAGGCGCTCACCCCTCATACTACGCAGCTAGAACTAGAGCGCGCCTAAGAAGGGTTACCTTGGCCTCGCATAATAATGAGCCTATGTCTCTGCGCAAGCTCAAAGGAAAAGGCTTCCCTGAGTGTGGGAAGGAAAGGAATCGGCGGTCACGTGATCCGATAAGGCTTCCGCCATTTTGTGTTTTTTCGCTTTTTTTTTTTTTTGTACAAGTATTTGGGAGAATGGATATATCCAGTGGCATCTGCTAACTTTTTTAAATAATTGAGATGAGATGAAATTCTTTTAACGTATGATTCACTGCTCTAAGTATTTTATGTTGTACAATTCAAGGGCTTTTAGTATCTAAATACGAAAAGCAACCACCATCGCCTCCTCCCTTGAGACAAACCCCTACCCATTAAACAGTCACTGCTTAATCCCTGCTCCCTCCAGCCCCAGGCAGCCACTAATCGGCTTTCTCTGTATGGATTTACCTGTCCTAGACATTTCATATTAATAGAATCATACAACATACGGCCTTTCGTGGCTAGCTTTTGTAATTTACTATATTGTGTCCAAGATTCATGTTGTAGCAGGCATCAGTACTTCATTCGATTTTATAGCTAAAATAATTACCTTTAATGGATAATACCACATTTTGTTTATCCATTTGTCAGTTGATCTTTTGGGTTGTCTCCACTTTGGGGCTATTATGAATAATGCTGCTATGAACATTCACATACAAGTATTTGTTTGAACTCCTGTTTTCAATTCTCTTAGGTTTATACCTAGGAGTGGAATTCTGGGTTACTTGGTAAATTCTATACTGAACTTTTTGAGGAACTGCGAACCTGTTTTCACAGTGACTACACCAGTTTACATTCCCAGGGTTAACAACATAAAGTATCCATTCTATAAATATGGAGTATCTTTCCATTTATTTAGGTCTTTTAAAATTTCTTTCAACATGTATTACGTATTTCAGAGTTCAATTTCTCACATCTCTTTTTTTTTCCTGGCCACACCACAGTCTGTGGAATCTTAGTTCCCAGATGAGGGATCGAACTGGCCCTGCCAGTGGAAGCGTAGAGTTGTAACCACTGGACCGCCAGGGAATTCCCCCCAAGGTCAGTTTTTAAAAGATTACTGTTTTAAAACATCACTCATGGGACTTGGCCCAGGTTTGGTCCCTGGTCAGGGAACTAGATCCCATATGCTGCAACTAAGAGTTCACATACTGAAACTAAAGATCCCACACATGGCAACACAGATCATGCATGTCGCAACTAAGACCCTGAGCAGACAAATAAATAAAATTTTAAAATATTTATTTGGTTGCGTCTGAGTCTTAGTTGCAGCAGGTGGGCTCCTTAATTGTGGCACGCAGGCTCCTTAGTTGCAGCATGCATGTGGGATCTAGTTCCCTGACCAGGGGCGGAATCTGGGCCCCCGGCATTGGGAGTGCGGAGTCTTAACCACTGCACCACCAGGGAAGTCTCAATAAATATATTTTATTTATTTATTTATTTATTTACTTTTTATTTTTGGCTGTGTTGCGTCTTTGCTGCTGTGTGTGGGCTTTCTTTAGTTGCAGTGAGCAGAGGCTACTCTTCATTGCGGTGAGCAGGCTTCTCATTGTCGTGGGTTCTCCTGTTTTGGAGCTCGGGCTCCAGATGCACAGGCTTCAGTAGTTGTGGCACACTGGCTCAGTAGTTGTGGCCTACGGGCTCTAGAGCGCAGGCTCAATAGTTGTGGTGCACAGGCTTAGTTGCTCTGCGGCATGTGGGATCTTCCCAGGCCAAGGCTCGAACCTGTGTCCCTTGCACTGGCAGGCAGATTCTTAACCACTGTGCCACCAGGGAAGCCCCAATAAATATTTTTTTAAAAATAAAATATAAAATATTACTCAAGCTGTTGTCTAAAGAGCATCTAAAAGATAAAGGCAGGAATTTCCCGGCAGTCCAGTGGTTAGGACTTAGTGCTTTCACTGCCTGGGTTCAATCCCTGGTCCCTAGTCCCTGGTGGGGGAAATAAGATATAGATAAAGGATATTAGTTGAGCTGTTTATTCTTTCATCCCCTAGGGTGTTGCCAGGTCTGTTTGTATGTTCAGCATCTCACATGTTACCCTTTTAACCAGTCAGGAAGAATGTGGAAAATGTAGTCTCTAGCTGCCCAGCTGAACCTGGGGAGGAGGTGGGGAAGGGGAGGTGGAGGGGAATGGAGTTGTTCCCATCAGTAGAAGGAAGAAGAGGACTACCAGGATGCTACAGAGAAGTAGGTTTCAAACTAGATGAATTTAAAGTAACTTATTTTTCTGTGATATTTGCTGGAATATCACTAGACACCTATTGTCAGTATATTGTTTCATTTCAGGTTTCAATAAATACTTTAGGATGTCAACTTTAAAATACTGTTAGCATACTGTGTTCAGGATTAAGTTTTATTAAAATAATGATACATCCAAGGGAGGGCATGAGTCAATCTAGAGCCAAGTTGATTAACAGCTTTGCTAAAAACTAGGAGTGTGAGCTTAACCACTTTAAGCTCCTGAATTGATCTGTAAAGTGGGGCTGATAAGAGCCCTTACTTAATAGCATCACTGTGGGGATAAATAGTTTACATAAAATGCAAGGCTTCTGCCTCATAATAAGGATTCCATAAGTGTAGCCATCTTGATTTTGTGTTGAACCCAATCCATACATTTAGTCATCTCCAAATATTAAATCTTATAGTCCTTTGTAGTTAAAAATGTGTGAATTTTATTGGATATTAAATTTTAAAATTATGATTTTGAAGAGGAAAGAAAAATTAGACCACCAGGTGCAAAATAGAAGTATAAAATTTATTTAAAACGACCCACAAATTTCTGTGTAATCAGGAATGATACAATTTGCAATAGTTTTTTTAAAAACTCATGACAAAATTTAAAATATAATTTCAATTACAGTATTCATTTAGCCTTATTCAGTTAGAACAATCAAAAAAAACTTTATGCTCTAAATAAATGAGACACACAGGAAAATATAATAGACACTTTTCACAACTATCTTACATGTATGTTTCAAAACTAGTACATTTCAAAGCATTTTGCTACATAAACATGAAATCATGTACAACTGCTGTGCACCAAAATTTAGCTTAATTAGGTCTTTCAAGTAACATGCAATTCCAACTCACAAGTCTTCAAGTACTGCTAGTAAGTGTTCCCTTGTATGCAGAGCACTACATATTGATCCTGAATAGAAATCATCATAATTAAGATTATCTCTTTCCCTTCTACATGTTGAAGTGCTTTCTCTTTAAACTGTTTCTGCCTTATGTTGAGAACCAAAAACGGATATATGTGGGGTTTGAAAATCTTTTCCTTACTAACCTATTTCAATGTATGGGATATTTAATACAGTAGGACGGCAATAGGTAAAATCCTCCAAAGGGAAAAACCAAAGGTACAAAATAAATAGTAAATACACCCCAAAGAGAGAAAAAGTCAGCTAGAGACAGGAATATTATTTTGTGAAATTGATAATTCTCTATTGGGAATTTAGTAGTACTCTACTTCACCATGGTGAAGAATCTGAATATTTTACTCCCACTAATGATGAATATAATGTCTTCTCCTTCAAAACGGGATATTGATATGCATGTGAATCTATTTGGTAGGTCACCACGTATCATAAGAGAAAATGAAGAAACCAGAAATCAATGCTTTTCTTTCTGCTGAGTAGTTTTTCGACCTTCTCTTTAGGGAACACTTCGTGATATCTTAGTAACCCAAAGAGGACCATCCACCCATACGTAACAATGCAAAAGCTGCCCTTTATTTTTACCACAAAACCATTCTGGAAAAATATTTCTCTCAAAGCACCTATCACAATGTTATCTCATAAAAGTTTTTTTTTTTTTAAGTCCATATATCTTTGTGTTTTTTAAGAGCTCTTTTTGTAAAGTCCTATGTCATCAGCTATTTATTTTATAATGTCACAAAGAGGCGTTAGTGAGGCTAGGCAGTTACTGAACTGAATCACCAAAAATGTTATTTGACTATTTAGGGCAGTCTGGCCTATGTTTTTTGTTAGTAACGCATAATCTACTGATGAAATAGGCCAACTTTCCTACCTCTTTATATTTATAAAGAGCTTACTAAAAACTTTACTAATACATCTCATTATTTTTCTTAACTCTCTGGGCCAAGGTATGTTTAATCTTTGACCCAGAGATTTGATGTGGCTGGAAAAGTGGAACAAAAAACAAAACAGTTTCAAATAAGTGGAAGGCAGAGCTATCTCTTAGAGATGCCAAAAAGTTTACATTTTTACCATGAGTGCCTGGGAACTAAAATAATCAGTTTACCCAGCACATTCCCTTCAAGAAAATTGCATTTCAATTTACAAAAACAGTAAACTTCCATTATGAATTGCTGACCTCGGTCTTTAAAAATATTATTTAGGAGGTTTCCCTTTGTTTCAGTAGTACAGGGACATTCTTTAAACAACAAAGAAAAAAAAATTTTTTACAGGGGAAAAAATAAAACGTCATTAATCTAAGCCCTAATGCAGAAGTCCTAGGAATTTGGGTAGACCTTCCAACGTATGAATAAGAAAATAGCTGGCTAAAATAAATAGTGAAGACAAAATACCTCAGAAGCATATTTTCTCTACAATAAGTAGATTTTGTATTATTCTTAGTTTCGGTCTGACAAAATTTCCACTCAATAACACTAAGTCATAGTTTATGGCACAGAAATGTGTTCAGCAGCCTGCAGATATTACCTGTTTTAGTTTCACATGGGTTGACTTGCTGTGTGATTTGAATCAAGCCATTTGCTATTCTTGCCAATCTGCAAGCTTCCTCACCTGTAAGATGGGAACATTGTTCTCTGTCCAACCATCAGTGTTGGGGAGAAAAAAGCAGCACATAGGAAAGCAGTTTGATAACCTAAAACATTATAAAGTACAAGGATTATAATTCTTCTTACTTCCATATTTGCTTTCAAAAGGGTTCCTCATTTTGAGCTGCTATTTTTCAGAAGAAACTGGTATGGAGTGGGGGGTAGAAACATTACAACTTGCTTTTGAGCTGGTAGGTGAACCTGCGGGCTGCTTAAAGCAACAAAATTCTCCCTCTTTTCTGCCCCTTAACTTCCCCCTAGTGCACTCAAAAGAGCTTCTGATGACTGATTTCTAAGAACTGTTCGGATTCCTTTCTGTCCATTTTTTAAACTGTCTCGCCCAGATCAAAAAACAGTTCCTATTATTGCCAACAACCAAATTCCAAAGGGGTAAATTTACATTAGAAAATAGAAACCATCCACAAAATTGAGCTGGGAGGTAAGGAGGAAAACACGCAAAAAAAAAAAAACACCCCCCAAAACAAAAAAAACAACTTTCTATTCTATACATCAGGGGTCCCCAACCCCAGGGCCGCACAGCAGGAGGTGAGTAGCGGGCAAGCGATCGAAGCTTCATCTGCGGCTCCCCCATCACACCCGTCGCTCGCATTACCGCCTGAGCCATCCCCTCCCACCCCACCCCCCGTGGAAAAATTATCTTCCATGAAGCCAGCCTCTGGTGACAAAAAGGTTGGGGACCACTGCTATAGGTCACACCCGATAATTCAAAGTCACCAGTCAGACAATTGATAATTAGTATGATGCGTTACACAGAAATAGCAGAGCCAAACAGAGTGCTAGAATATATAACTTCTTACACAACTTTTTGTAAAACACTCAAACACTAATAAAGTTGAGGGTCAAACATTGCTGGGATAGGTAAGGGGAACACTTGATGCTAACCTGGGGTTCCTAAAAACTTAATTTGCCTCTAAGTGAAAGGGCTGAATAAAAGCTTTTAATTCTTTTTGGTATTATTCCAAAAAGGATTGGTGAAGCAATTTTAAAAGACAGGAAAAGACAACCTGAGCTAGATCACTGCTATCCTTAAAATGAACCCTGTGTGTTTGTGTAGGGGACATGGGGGATGGTGACAGAACAGAGAGGGTGGAAGCAATAGAGTTTTGCTTTAAAGAAAATTAAAGAGGATTAAAAACTGTAAAAAGAATGAAAGTACACTTAGTGACATTGTAGCTTCAGTAAAATGAGTAAAGAAAAATAATAACAAGCAGAGTTTCTAGTCAAAGATGGTAAGTTTATGCCTAGCCAAATGGAGAAGAAACCAATTTACTTTCCAATATAGTTTCTCCAAAAATGAAAATGTTTCTGACAGTTGCGAGATTTTTTTCCTGATGAATGAGACAAGAGAGAATGCCTTTCATAACAGCTGCTAGGAAATTTTTTTTTTAGGAAAACTAGGTGTATACTGTTAACCCAGGGTTTCCAAAGTTGCACTCACACATAAATGGGTTAAATCGACTAATGTATAACATTTCTACCTTAGACTAAGTTTTGCTTTAATTTAAGGGACAACTATGGCTGAACGAACCAGAAGAAAATTTATGACCCAGGCAGGGTCACGGACATCACAGTAGGGATGGGAAAGGAGTACAACCAACAAAGAAAAGATTAATGTTAGACTTTTAAAGCTAGAAATATTAAACATTGCATACTAGCCAAAGAGAAACACATTTTTGTGCCCTTACAGAAGAAGGGAAAATGAGGAGTGGCAAAATTAGAAATACATTTGGATTACTTGAAGGAACAAAACACATGCCCTTTGAAGCGAACAATGGTATTCGATTGGGTGCCCAGAAGAAATTGGCATTGAAACAAAGTCATTCAGGTCCTGGAACGCAGAGAATTAAAGTTTGTAGAGTTCATTGTGGACAAAAAAAGTGATGTCCCGCGTAAAAGCGAGCTCCACCATCTCCAAAATTAACAGAGGAACTTACACTCTTATTTTATACACTAGAGAAAAGCAAAGATTCCTATGTTCTCAAAACATTTTAAGGAAATACACAAATTCCACTTCTGATAAAGGACATACTGATTCTTTCCAAACTGTATTCCAGAGCCGTGGATGGCATCTTTTTTTAAGTTGAGGATTGTGTTTTATTCAGAGGACTTTCCGAGGAATTCAAGCCCAGGAGGCAATCTCTCAGATAGTTCTGAGGGACTGCTCCTGGCATCATTTTCTAAACCTGTTAGAAGAAAGCTCAACATGGAGCATAATTTGATTTAGATAAATCCAGACTTCTTCAGAAATCAGAGCACTGATTCTATCACTTGGATAAGTGTGCCACAACCATTGACATTGAAGTTATACAAGTTCCATACATTTATGGGCAAGTTTAGGAGCTGTGCACAACAAAACTATTCTAATACTGATAGATAGTCCCATCAAAATAAGCTATGCTGGGACTTAGTTGTGAGGCCAACTAGGCAAGAGTGTGAATAGACTGTACAACTATGGCTAGGGAGTATGTACAATAGAAATATACTTTCCCCAATTATTCTAACCATTCAGTCTTTTCTAACTCCTTATATATGCCAAACACTTGTTCGAGGGGAAATAAAAACCTGTACTCTATCAGTACTTGATATTTGTTTATTGAAATAGCAAATAGGACTATTGCCACATTTTGTGAGATGAATCAACAGAACAGCTTCATAGGTAAAAGTCATCTAGATTTCCCATACAAGGCCCACAGAACTCTGCAGGCAGGGAAATCTTGATCCAATTTCACTTAATTTCTTTCCCTGAACCACTCAGAAAAAAACTCAAAGCCATTTTATTTTTGACTTGTACCAAAAATAAGGTTACTTTGCAGCGCTAAAATCCCCTGTGGGTGAGCAGATCAAGTCTGTTTTCCTAGAGTCTTCTTAACCACAAAGTGGCCTTCACTTGACTGTTTAAATTTTAATTACAAACATAATTGCACATTGACACTCACATCTGCTGTCTGGGCTCCAGTGATTGAATTGTATGTCTTCTAAGGTGTCTTCCAGGGCTGTGAGAGGCCTCTGTATTACCTTATTTCACAATTCTCATCAAAAATTTCTACAAAAGATCAAAATTCCCAGTTGTACTAAATCTAGACCAAAAAGATTTCCATGCATCAAGAAGTTGTGAAATAGATGGTAGCTATATATTAAAGGTCACATACAGCTACTGATTTACTTGGCACATTCAAAGGAAATGCTGTGCCCATATTCAGTGGAAGTTGTCATGCAATGTCAAAAGTTTGTTCCAGATAAAAGATATAATTTGTTTTAAGAAGACTAATTTAAATAGATTGGGGTGATTTTCATACATGCTATTGTGAAATAAATGATAATCAGTAGGAGTCCACTGAAGTAGTAACATTAGAAAGTAGGTTACTTCATATGAATTAAGTCAGTATCTCATTTACACAGGGGTATGCATTCAATTAACTATGCAGTGGGGTTATGTCTAATTGCTTATGAATCTCATCTAGTTGAAATTCTATATTTAACAAATGAAATTGTTTCATCCACATGCAGATTGCATAATAAAGATGTGGAAGGTTATTTAAGATGCAAACATTTTGCTAACATGTTGCAAAAATTTACCTATAGTTAAACATTTTCAGCTAGCCTCACTTTCCAATAATATATTTCAATCAGGTTTTATGACACGATGTATTGGTACTTTGTGGATGAATTGGAAAGATGTAGGTGAGGCTGACAAGCACAAGAAAAACTTTTCATCGATGGCCTGAGATCCATTAGAAGCAGGATTTTGAAGGGCAGCATGACACTTTGTAGGATTCTACAACAGGTAGGAATTATTCTCTCATTATAGTTGGTAACTCTGTAACTACTATGAACAGATTGGGCTAACTTGGGAGTCAAGTATCAATGAATTCAATTATCATACCATGAACAAAGGCAGAAGATTAAAAACCCAACGAGTGCTATAAAAGGGGTAAAACAAAAGGTGATAGTACAGTAAAACATAAGTGTAGAAATAATGTTAGATGACCAGTTTTCTGAGTGAAAATGTCATTTCAAACAAATTTATTTCCTTGCTTCATGAGAAAGAGCATTCTAAAAACAGTATAGCCAGCATACAATCACAATGCTGCAGGACACTGAATAAGCATGAGCTTTGAAAAAAAAAAAAAGTCACAGGGCAAACAACGGGATGGTACACTGTGAAATTTAGGAAATAGAGTTCAACAAGGAAAGAATCATATGTGGGTCCCACCAAGGGGTTATCAGTTGAGGCAGGCCATTCATGGTGTTACTTACAATAACAGAATGGAAATATTTTAGTTGATATAGGGTATTTTCATGTACTTGTTTTGGTAAATTGCAACTAACTTCACAAATCCAAATATTCCCCTAAGTCAACATTGGTGCTTCAGGTTTAGATTGTTAAGGAATTTATTTAAAGTTGGTGACAAACTGATTTGAATTGCTGCAGATGTATCACAATGGATTGTTTTGAAGGAAATTTGCTATTTTTGAAAAATGTGTTAGATTATCTTTTAGGATTTTAATTCTTCAAGTTTACTATGTCATGGTGGTGACAAAGAAAAACAAAAGCTAATACTTAAATTTGGGGTACAGTCAATAAAAATTGAATGGAAGAACGGATAGATGGGTGGATGGATAAAGGATCTTATAACTTTATCCATTAAATCTGGTGAGGAAATAATTTCTAGTGGGAGCTAAGGCCTAAATTCTAAAACAAAATATCACAAGGGTGTATTCCTGATAGTCTAATACTAGTAATATCTTATTGAAGCAGCTGAAACAATAAACAATCACTTATTTATATACTTATATGTATAAGTAACCTTAGGCTCACAAAAATATACATGTTTTAAAACAAATCTAAGGCACACAAAATACTAAAACAAGTCAATGAATTACTCTATTTTACATATTCAAGAAGCAGAAATCTACTCGACAAGATGATAGTCTATCAATGGACATTTTGTTATTTACAATCCCTTCATATTCCTTTAGTCAAAATTAGTCAAAAGCTTGAAACTGATACTTTGCACCATATATTATTTTAATATAAGTTACAATGAGTTTTCCTTTAGAGAGCTTGTTGGAACTTTTGCTTTTGCACCAGAATTGTGAGTGTTAGCGGTTGTGGGCTTCCTATGGCATTTCCAAGGGAGAAGCACCAGTAGGTTTTCCATACTCCCAAGGAATCTGACACTTTGAATGTTATAGCACCTCTGCATTTTAACAGAATCAAGTATTTCATTGAAATTTCTTCTTGTTCTTTGTTTGGGCAATTACTTTTGTTTTGCTATAAAATGAGTTAATAAAGTAATGGGAAAAAATAATGGGGGGGGGACTAAACTAAATGGAATGCCTATTTTCCCATTACCTAGAAGAACATGAGTTAACATTTCCCCAGAACAATATACTTAGATGAACTACTTTGGATTAGCTCTTAATGGACAAACCAGGCTTATAATACCATTCCTACTGTTTGTTTACAGTGTGGGGGTGTGTGTGATGATGATGATAGGGAATTTATTTTCAAAATATTTCTACAGGACATTTATTCTTATTCTGGACCAGAATGACTTTCAGAATGAATAAGGCAATTTGGGGTGGATAAGGTTCTTGCTACTTAATTTTTGTATTTTATCACCTTGAAACTTTAGAAGCATTTGACTCTTCAGAATCCTGTTATGTCTCATCTTCTTTTGGAAACACCTTTCATGGATTATATTGAGAAAGCTGGGGTGAAAGTAAATTAGGGCCATTGTTGTTCAATAAATCAGAAGAGACCATTCTTATTTAGTTCCAAAGAAAAGTTAATCAATATTGGTAATATGCTTCCTAATTCCAATTTTAGAGAGAATTAACCATTTTTGCATGACCTAACTATTTTATATAAGTAGCTAATCTTTGAATGAGAAAGGACTCATTTAAATACAAACCATATACATGATTAGAATACATACTGCAGGTAACAAGATGGAACTCTACACAGCAAGAATAAATGATTTCTCTTGTATGCAAATATGCACAAACAACAGACAATAGGATTCTTATACTATACTATTTCAAGTTACTTTTAAAAATAGAAAGTGCTTTTAAAATATATATTTACAATTTATGAACAGCCTCCAACCATCACCAACAATAATGAATTATTTTATACAGGAGAGAGATTTTAAGAGAGAAAACATTTCATTGGTTCATTTCAAAGGAATATGCCGAGTTTCTAGCAATGATTGGAAGATGTTAGAACAATGGCACCATGAAATAATAATTCAGCTTATTTTTGTGTCGATGTGGTTAAGCACCAGAAGCTGTGTAGAGTTAACACTGTGTGTCTTAATTTTACATCATAGCACATGAACCTGTTAAAATCCTCTAAAAATGACTCGTTTCATAGTAAACAATTTAAAGCACCAAACTGAGTGATTCTACCAAGGTTAACACCTAACCAAAACATCTCTTTATGTATTTAAAACTATAAAACTTTTATTTTTGCTTAAAATGTGCACCTTCTACCAATTGTCAAAATATAGTCACAGTTAAGAAATACCCACCCCCCATTTTTTTTTTTTTACCTCAGCCTTCAAATGGGTGAGATGAAGATATAGTAAACGACAACATGACTTTCTTTTAAGAGCACCTTGAAAAAATACACTGCACTCGCAAAGGCATTAAGAAGGGGAGAAAAGCCTTCAGACCCAATGGTTATAGGGCCCCGCAACATGTGTGAGAGCATAAGGGGACACGGTGACAACATTGTCATGGGTTAATGTTAACGCTTTGTGGGAAGGAATCTGGTTAAATTCATTAACTTCAGGGGACAGTTCAGGACCCTCGTTAGCTGCCTTGTCTTTCTGCTCGGAGGCTTTAGTTTTCTTATTCTTTGCTTCTTTCGCCTCGAACTTAATCTTGTTTAGTTCGAAGCCGTGTTGGGGCTTATTCAGGTTTTTGTGCTGGTAGAAGACAAGAGAGAGGCGTGTAGGGTGATTCCGGTTGGGGTGCTCGACAGGAGTCGTGGCGTGAAGCTCTCTCCTGGCGCACTCGATCAGAACAGAGCCGTGGGCGGGCGCTATGGCCACCCCACCAACATTGGCATCCAGGAAGATGTGCTCACTGTCTGACCAATACTCAACAATGTGGGGCAGTTTCTCCTCAGCAGGTGACAGGGGGTCGTCTGATAGGGGGTCATCTGACGGAGGCTCATCTGCTTCAGAATGCTGCTCGTCTTCTTCCGCCAGAGAAGAAGCAAGTTCATGAGGAGAAGGGATGAACGGGGGCTGCTGGTTTGGCTGATCAGAAGTTAGCTGCTCAGATGGACCAGTGGGAGGCTCAGAATAAGCCGGGGAATCTGTCATGGGAGTAGGCAAGGTGGAAAGAGGAACCATTTCACCAGGCTGTGCAATTTCAGCACACTCCCCAGCAGCTACGTTAGCACCACTGTGTCTTGCAGAAGGCATTGTGCAGTGGGGATTGCTACCTCTTTCTGAAAACCCGTACGAAACTGATGCATCGTTCTTAAAAGGAACTGTTGGGACCGGAGCAGTCTTAGGGGACCAGGAGAAGCCTGGAGCTAAGTGTGCCTCTTTCACTGGGTGAGGAATGGATGGGGTCGGTGAGTAGGTTTTAGTGTTGTCCGAACCTTTGAAGATAAGGTGGGGTTCAGTTTCACTTTTTATTTCAGGTTGCACAGTCTCTGTTTTATTCCCTAAACAGAGAAAAGGACACCAAATGTGAAGATAAATACAAACTACTTTTGGTAGCTGTTGTCTTTAAACAGTATTTTTAAAGAGATGTACAGAGAATAACAGAACAGAACACTGATGGTGGCAATTTGGCCAGTTTTGTTCTATTTACTTTAAGCCTGACATATGCACACGTTAAAAATTGTAGGTAGTTTACGTACGCTTTTTCACCCAATATTTTTTTCTTAAAAAATTATTTACTTTGGAAATAATCATAAATAAGTTCACAAATTTAGCCAGAAGGATATCCATTGTCTAAAATGGTAAGATATTGGAAATGAACCAATTGGCTATGAAGTAAATATTAAAACCATACATCAGAATACAGTGCAAGTGATAATATGGTGACCAAGAGCAATATTTCACTACCCAAAGAGCTGTTTAGATACATTTTAGGTATTGCATGATCTCATTTTCGAAAATGTTAAAGAAAGTAACAGTTTATAAAGATTTCTGAGTAATGAAAGCATCATAACCGGCAAAGTTAATTATTAGGCAAAGAAAAGTCACATAAATAAGCTATTCCTACCCCTCAGAACAAGTGCATTTAAGCTCTGTTTCTTTCTCACCAAGTAGGTAGGTCATTATTATGACATTGGACAAAAGGTGGGCCATCTGCTCTGACATATCCACACAAACCTAATATCAACTGAAAACATTTTTCTTGAGGACATTCTCCCTGTTTTGATGTTCTAATAAAATGTTTGCAAGGCAAAAGTAGTAGATTTTAAGGACCAAGAAATAGCAAAGTTGTCTTGTTTTAAAATAATTAATATAATAGTAAACATTTATCTAATTCAGAAGATCTGCAATTTTCCCTCAGATGATATAACCTGGAGACACAATAATTCTCATGTCTAAAGAGAACTTATATACAGGACCCAAGGAGCAGTATATCAAGAAGTCTGTGCTACTATCTGTGGCTGCATCTACTATTTTAGAGGTTAAGTTGTCAACAAAGTACAACTCACAGGAAGGAAAGATTTAAAATATGATGAGTCTTTTATTTAATTGGAAAAACCTGTAAAAAAGCATTCATGGGTAATATTACAAAAGGACAAGAAGTTTTAGGCCAAATATTGTGCATTTGGCTACTAATAGGGTATCTCTCTCTCTCTCTCTCTCTCTATATATATATATAAAAGAATAGCATGTAAAGATGCTATTAGAAAATGACACAAAGATGAAAATGTTATGACTACTGTTTACAAGCAGCATGGAACCAGATATGTGAATCTTAAAATAAACCTAAATTAAATATCTGTAAAGTGGAACTACAAGCAAAAAGGAATGATAATTGTCCCTTGCCTTGCCTCTTCACTATCTCTATTGAATCTTTCTCAGTGTTATATAAATGTCTGCACAGTCAGTTGTCTCATCTTAAACAAACAACTTCTCTTAAAAATATAAAAATCAAAGAAGTTAAAGAATACACTGTAATTCTTAGTTTGAATGTCAGTTTAAATTAATAGTGTTTTTTAATTTTTTAGGCTCCTTGGAGGAATGGCTGATTTTAGATATGGGGCAGGATTACATAAGAGGAACCTGGAACATCTTGTCAGAACAGAAACTAAGGAAGTTACCAAAGACAATCGGGGTCATAACAAAAGAATCAGAAGCCACCTTGAAGTGTTTCTACTGATCCAAGACAGGAATTTGAATGAAAGCATATGAATTTGAAGATTTTAAAGCATTTTCAAATATAGTGGAAAAAAAAACCCCTTCTTAATATACATTGAAATATAAACTATGTTAAAAAAGACATAAGTTCAAAATGATACTAAATTAAAAAAAAAGAAAAACAATTGATCACACTGGAAGATGCTTGGGAACTAACTTGTTTTGTTAACACTGGTGAATAAAGGCAAATAGCTAAGCATTTATTCTGATTTCTTTAATCACCCATACCTCAGAATTAACAAGTTATTACAAGGACAATTTCTTTTTAAAAGAAGATTTAAAAAGTGGAAAAAGAATAACAAACTCCTAATGAAATAAAGAATATGTAATATGACCATAAGTGTTTCTAAAACCGTTAGGTAGAAAGCTGTTAGGGAACATTATAATCAGTCAATTAGGTTAACAACACCTGACCTAGTCTTTTTTCTTTATGCGGCATGTGGGATCTTAGTTCCCCTACCAGGGATCGAACCCGCACCACTTGCAGTGGAAGCGCTGAGTCTTAACCACTGGACCTCTGAGGAAGTCCCCTGATCTAGTCTTAACATCACAAAAAGACACACCAAACACTATGTACTTCCTGATGTGAAGAAATAGGAGTATATAAATCACAGATACTGTTCTGGCCATAGTAATTTTTTTTTTTTTAAACTGAAGTTGAATTTGCCTCTATGGACAATGGTTTCTGCTATAATGAAAAATGAAAAAATGAGGGAAAAGAAGAAAAGCAAGCTTTAAATTAAAAAAAAATGTATAGGAGACATATCAACTAAATATAATGTGTGACCTCGTTTGGATACTGATTTAAACAAACCAAATGTGAAAAACAAAAGATCAATTAGGAGACAAGTGGAGCAATTTGAACACTGATTGGTATTAAGGCGTTATTTGATTTTTGTTTGCTTGTCTTAGGTATTGTGGGTATAAAGATTCCCTCTCTTTTAGTGACACATAGAAGATGATTCAGTGGGTAAGATATGACTTCTACAATTTGTTACCAAAAACAACAACAACAACAAAAAACTGCACAAGTCATATCTTTATATTTTCATACCCATGTGGCCTGGGTAATGGTATAGATGACATAGAATGGCTATGTATTGAAAAACTTTTAAACTAGGAGTCTATGAGGGAAGTGGAATTCATTATGTAATTCACTCACTTTGTACCTTTTTTTAAATTTCCATTTAAGGAAGAAATCCTCAACTCTATAACCTTCACTCCATTCAGTTGACCCCCTTTATAGCCAACATGCATGTCTTCCATTTCTCTCCCATTTCCCTATAAACCTACTTCCTTCATTCTCACCACTGTTCTGCACTCTGCTCTAGCAGTCATCTTCAAATGTAAAGATAAAATCTCAGTTTTCCTCTCACTTGCCACAGGAGCAGCATTTGACAGGGCTGATCACTCCTCTGTGGTTTCATGCCTACCACACCACACCTTCCCAGTCTAAGCCTCTCTTGCTGGTTCGTCCACATCTCTGAAACCTCTACAAATTGAAAATTCCCAGGATTTGTCCTCGATCAAATTCCCTTTTCACCTCCTTCTCTGTGATTTCATTCACACTCAAGGCTTCAAATACCATCTCTATCCAGTTGACCTCTTAAATTTTATCTCCAGTCTGAACCTGTTCTCTGAATTACACTCTTATTCAACTGCTTACCTAACGTCTAGACTTGAATGTCTACAGGTGTCTCGAACTTTTACCATGTCCAAAAGTGGGCCTCTGATTTCCCTCTTTATCTTGCCAAATATGTTCTTCTCCCTCCTTTCCTCATGATAGTTGGTGGTTTAACCATCCTTCCAGTTTCTTCCAGCCAATAACATCAGGGTAAATCTTGACACTTTTTTTGGTCCACACTCGAGACTTAAATCTATCAGAAATCCCCAGGACTTCCCTAGTGGCACAGTGGTTAAGAATCCACCTGCCAATGCAGGGGACACGGCATCGATCCCTGGTTCAGAAAGGTCCCACGTGCTACGGAGCAATGAAGCCCGTGTATCACAACTACTGAGCCTGCACTGTAGAGCCTGCAAGCCACAACTACTGAGCCCACGTGCCACAACTACTAAAGCCCACGTGCCTAGAGCCTGTGCTCCGCAACGAGAGGCCACCACAATGAGAAGCACACTCACCGCAACGAAGAGTAGCCCCCACTCCCTGCAACTAGAGAAAGCCTGTGCGCAGAAACGAAGACCCAACGCAGCCAAAAATAAATAAATAAAATACAGTAATTTAAAAAAAAAAAGAAAAGAAATCCCATTGACTCTACCTTAAAAACATCCAGAATCAGACATTTCTCCTGTCCTCCTCACTAGTCACTATGGTCCAAGCTCCATCATCTCTTTCTTGAGTTGTTAGGATAGCCTGTTTATGATCACCCTACTATTCTATTCTCTACCCCACTTGACTCTAGTTTCAATCCAGTAACTGGGATGTTAGGTTTGAGTCAGATTATAGCCCTTCTCTATTTCTCACTCAAATATAGGCCAAAGTCTTGACAGCAATCTACAAAGCCCAAGATGAATGGCTCAGATGCCCCTCTTACCTCTCTGATCTCACATCCTACAATTCTCCCCATTTCACACTGTGCTCCAACCATACTGGCCTCTTTGCTTACATCAAGTATTCAAGGTAAATTCCCATCTCCTGAACTTTGCACTTGCCACTTCTACCTGGAATGCTATTTCTCCAAATAAAAACATTGCTATCCTCATTTCCTTTAGGACTTTGCTCAAATGCCTCATTCTCAGTGAATCCTTTTTTGACAACCCTATTCAAATGGAATTCTTTCACAGCACTCTGTCCCCTCTTACTCACTGCTACATTTCTGATACCTCGAACAGTTCAAAGTAGTGCCCAGTAATATTTGTTGAATGGACTACTTAAACTGATGCTAAAGCTGATGAAGAAGAAAAAAAAAGCTGATGAAGTAGGACTTCAAGGAAGTGATGTCATTTTATGTATGCTGAGAAGGGGCTTTGCTTCAAAATAGCTGGGGAACAAACGATAAGAACATGTTTCGTTTTTGCTTTTTTTTTTTAAAAAGAATATAAATAGAGAAAAAAATACCAAGAAATACTGATGGGTCACCTTTTTGTTGGCTTTTAATTTTGGCAAGTACATGGAAATATATTCACTGTTTTAGTTTAAACTCTAAACAAACTATATAAAAATAATTGGTTAACTTGATTGGTAGATATCTGATCTAAAGTTTTTCTTTTCATAATGCCTCACTCCTAAGAGAGTGGCAAAGACAATAAAGAAAAATAAGATGCAAAGACAAGTGCAAACTGAACTGCCAGTGAAAGTTGTGCACAGAAAATTATCAGGCTCAATAAGCCTTACCTAAAAGTGGCAGCGATGAAGCCTTACTGTTGTTTGTCATTGAATTATTCTTCCGCTTGATTCGAGGAATAAATTTCTTTTCCACAGCCCTTATCTTATGTGCGAGAACCTCTGTCATCATTGCTGCTCTCTTCTTCCCAGAACGAGGAACTGGCTGAGTAAATCGTGTTCTTCTTCTGCGGTGGGGTGCGAGGACCATGATGGCCCCTGATTTGATCCTGGCTTCCATTCCGTCCCTTGAGCCAAACTCATCTGTGTCTGAAAGTTTATAAAGAGGAAGTACATGCAGCTGCTCATCTTGAGGAATAACACCAAATGAGCGGTTATCTTCTCGTGTTAAAGTGCAGACCTGATAGGAAGAAAACATGAAATGGGAACTAGAGATCCTGCACATTCATAATAGATATTCCTACCTTCTTATTGTTGCCATTGTGAAAGGGAACTGTTTTCAGTTGGTTACTGCTGGTATATTCATTCATTTTGGAAAAATATTTTATATATCAAGCCACTCAATGCTTTTCAATTTGAATAACTTATCAACTATTTGTAAGCAGACCAGTATAATGTTGAGTTGATTTTGTAAGTACATATTATACATGTTTATGCATTTTATAATATTTTAAGTCACCTTCTTTGTTACATTCCATCTTATTTCATTGTCTAAGTTAAGGAACAGTCACTGAATTGTTCACTACCTTCATATTAAATATTAACTAATAAAAAGATATTACTTTAGCTTATAAATCACACTATTTCTTTTTTTTTTTTTCACACTATTTCTTAATACTTAAATAATGTGGACTTCCCTGGTGGCACAGTGGTTAAGTATCCACCTGCCAGTGCAGGGGACATGGGTTCGAGCCCTGGTCCGGGAAGGTCCCACATGCCGCGGAGCAACTAAGCCCGTGTGCCACAACTACTGATTCCACGTGCCACAACTACTGAAGCCTGTGCACCTAGAGCCCGTGCTCCACAACAAGAGAAGGCACCGCAATGAGAAGCCCGCACACCGCAACGAAGAGTAGCCCCCGCTTGACTCAAGTAGAGAAAGCCCTCGCGCAGCAACAAAGACCCAACACAGCCAAAAATAAATAAATAATTAAACAAACAAACATGAGAAGAGGAACTAAAACTTAGTTTGACTCTGAACCTAATCCAACCTGATCACTAATATTCTCTAATGAAGAGCAACTCACATAAAATGTACTAGCCAAGCATGATGTCGAATCACTCTTTGGCTAAGATTCATCTGGATGGATGTATAAAATTTCAGCATTTGGAAATAACATTGGTCTCAGAGACCATAGGCAACATCAGTGAAAGGGTGTGATAGGGAAAAAGTTGTTTTGGCTCCTTAATCTGTTACTGATAGACCTCATTGAGCAAATAAGGAAGGAAGGCTGCCTTTTGATGGATCAGACGGTACACTTCCAATCAGAATGTAATAATCATAGCTATGTCTTCTAAGAGGCCAAAATCATGTAGTGCAGAAATAGAGGTAATCACTCTCTATTAATCTGTTTTACTAGGTAAGAAGAGAACTACTTGAAGCAAACTCATTTCCCTTATAAAAGGACTATTGCACGATTTTTCCTGTGGTCTTCTCCTTAATTTAAGATTATCTTGATTGACTTCTTGCTATGGGCATGTGATTCTTTTCATGGCTATAAACATAGTATGCACATATATGTGCAAATATTTCTTCTAAATATCTCTACATACGAGCACTAAGAACCAATATTAATAAAAAGGATGGTAAATTTGGCATGGTTCCCTCACAAAAAACCTGAAGTACAGATGGCAAGAAAGAGTAATTTGCTTAACTTCCTATCTACCAGTTTGATAGCACAGAATGGTTGCTTTGAATAATCATGTAGTTCTACATCCCAACAAACCTACCACAATTAAATGTATAATTCAAGACTTTCAACAAAGTATTTCAGGCTGGTTCTGTAACTTTTGGGGAGCACTATCGATATATACTATGTGGAACAGACATAAAATAGGATTTCTCACAATAAGCATCCTTAAGGACCTCAGCTTGAATGTACAGTGATGGAGCCTTTAGAATCAAAAGCCATCCAGGTACATACCACCGTGCTCCCATTATTCATGTTGTGAATGTCCCTGTGGGGGTGGGCACAGAAGTCTAGGCAAGCAGTGACCCCAGAGAAAGGACGACCTTCTTTCTTGCCAAGCCGACATTCTTGAGCAGCGTGTTCAAGCGCCACCTGAAAAATAATGTATGACCCATGGTTTTAAGAGAGAGAAAGAATCACCTTCAATAAAGAGTAAAACTCACTTTCTGATAAAGTTTATGAGTTAATTACACTTTATAATTTCAGAGATATCTGACACTACAGTATATTATTTTAGTGATTGTCTAGTTTAGTAATATTCAGGGTAAAGAATTTGAGACTACATGGATTAAAGTGGCAATCACTGAAGGCAGGGTGAGGGCATTAATAGCTACTGGGGGTAGATAAACAAGAACAGTAGCCTGAAATATTTCATTAGGAAGAAAGAATAATACAGTGCTTTGATCATGTATCTAGTTTTCAATGTCTATATAAAGTAGATGTACATATATATTCATGAACCAGTATAGAAAGTAAATTAATAACTTTTTTAAATGAAAGGTTGGAATTTAACAGAGAACGTGTTATTCATGATAATACAAATAAATATTTTAATTTTTATTAAATATTTAAAAAAATATGGACTTCTGGTTATGTTTCTGTTTTTGTTTTTGGTTGCGCCACTCTGCTTGCAGGACCTTAGCTCACTAACCAGGGATTGAACCAAGGCCCTCGGCAGTGAAAGCACAGAGTCCTAACCACTGGACTGCCAGGGAATTCCCTATGTTTAAAATTAGGTATTTTACACACTTATTTTCTCCATTCTCTGATATATGATTTGCAATTATTTTCTCCCAATCTGTGGTGGTCTTTTCATTTTCTTTTTTAAAATAATGTGTTCCCCCAACTCAGTTTTATTGAGGTATTCCTGACATACGACATACGTAAGATTAAGGTATACAATGTGATGATTAGATACATGTATGGATTACAAAATGATTACCACAATAAGGTTAGTGAACATTGCAATCTGTTCACATAATTACGATTATTTGGTGTGTAGAAGTAACATTGAGGATGTCTTTAAAACATTTAAGTATATAATATAGTATTGTTAATTATAGCCACCAAGCTGGGCACCAGATCCCCAGGTCATATATATATTTTTTTAATAAATTTATTTATTTATTTATTTTTGGCTGTGTTGGGTCTTTGTTGCTGTGCGCGGGCTTTCTCTAGTTGCGGTGAGCGGGGGCTACTCTTCGTTGCAATGCGCGGGCTTCTCATTGCAGTAGCTTCTCTTGCTTCAGAGCATGGGCTCTAGGTGCACGGGCTTCCACAGTTGTGGCTCGTGGGCTTCAGCAGTTGTGGCTCATGGGCTCTAGAGCGCAGGCTCAGTAGTTGTGGCGCACAGGCTTAGTTGCTCCGCAGCATGTGGGATCTTCCCGGACCAGGGCTCGAACCCGTGTCCCCTGCATTGGCAGGCGGATTCTTAACCACTGCACCACCAGGGAAGCCCCCCTCAGGTCGTATTTATCTTATAGGTGGGAGTTTGTACCCCTTGACCAACATCTCCCCATCTCCACCACTTCCCAATTACTTTCTTGATGAGGCATTTCTGCTTTTATAAGTTTTATTCCTAGAAACAATCATAACTTTGTCACTCTGGAGATTTAATTCAATTGCCATAATAGACTTTTTTTTTTTTTTCCTGCGGTACGCGGGCCTCTCACTGTTGTGGCCTCTCCCGTTGCGGAGCACAGGCTCCGGAAGCGCAGGTTCAGCGGCCATGGCTAACGGGCCCAGCCGCTCCACGGCATGTGGGATCTTCCCGGACCGGGGCACGAACCTGTGTCCCCTGCATCGGCAGGTGGACTCTCAACTGCTGCGCCACCAGGGAAGCCCCATAATAGACTTTTTAAAAAACGCTAGACAATTTTTTAAGCTGTCTGATAAAAGATCTACATTAAGTTCAGATTTGAAAAAATTTTCTATTAACAATGACATTGTTTAGATATAAATTTCAACCATGTTTAAGAGTACTGTATAAGGAACCAAAACATACCTGGTTTTGGTAAGCAACTGGAGCATACTGCTTATAAATTGGAGCTAATTCTGTAGCCAAACTCTGTAAATTATCTTCAAGGTTTTTTTCCTAAAGGAAGAGACAGTCCATAAAAGTTGTTTCATAATAACATATAAGATGAGTGATGAGTTTATTATATAACGTATGAAAATGAATTATACATCATTGCTGATGTGTGGTTGATGCATGGTTCATACTTACCCAGATAAAAGAGCTACCATAGAAAATGACATGGATAGTTTTCATAAAATCTAAACTATTAGTCACTGTTATGCTTGAATTTAGTCTTTTGAAATTAAAAGTCTATGTTATCAGCTAATGAGAATTCTAACTGGTGTTAGAGGTAAGTTGCAAAACTGCTCATGTTGTTAAAAACAAGAACCATATTTCATATTTATTCAATAGTACAGGGCACTTGAAGTAAATCAAGACAATTTTCCTGCTAACAAGTGGAGACTTGGAAGAATTCTGACAGTGAAACAAGTTTCTATAACAGAGATGGGAGAGCAACACACATAAGGCACATACCGTGTTATCAGATCCTGTGTTAAGAGCTTCAAACATAATAAGTAGGCAATGGGCTGTCTAAAACCAGTGTTTTCTTTTCTACACAGGAATGGCTATAAATTGAGGAAGATCTGATAGAACTGTGGAGAAGCCTTAACACCATTTCAAGATTCTAGATTCTAATGACAGTAGAAACATGTAAGATTTTTTCAAAGGAAAACCGTCATGACAAGAATATTAAAAATGTCACTGATGACAGCATGAGGTTCGAAGGAGAGAAAGCAGCCTTTGGCAACAATAGTTGGAAAACCATTGTGGTAGTTTTTCAGAGATGATTATATCCTAAACCAAGTCAGAGACTTGATAAATGATCAGTCACATCTAAGGAAGACAAGTGATGGAGAACTGACATCAAGGATGAATGAAGGACTTAAGAAGGTTTGAAGGCTTCCGCCTCATTTGAGATTTGGTGGATGCCTAGAACTCAGGAAGGAAGCCTTCATGTGGACCAGGTCACCTCTGGTATGAAGCAGACTATTATAAAAACCAAAGGCAATATAGACACAGGAAGTTAATTCTTGAGTGCTTTTTAACAAGCCTCAGTCTTGGCAACTGCAAAGCATCAGTGATAATCCTTTTGGTTTCCTACTCATTTATGTTGGTGCTTTCATTGAAAAGGATATTCATGTATATATAGGGTCTATATCTAGATTGCTCTGTTCCATTCATCTGTCTAATTATGTATTTGTTACTCAATGTAGCTTAATAAATATAGTCAGGGAGGTCAGACCCCTACTTTAAAAACACTTCCTAGCTATACTCACACATTAATTATAAATTTGAGGAAAACTCAGGAATTATTATTTAAATGCCTATTAAAAAGACTTTATTATATTTTATAACACTTGAAATATTGGGTGGGGTAATTGTGTTTTACTGCTAATAGAGTATTAAGAATCATTCAGTGTCACAAGTCAGACTGGGCAATTTGTCATCTTATGGAATATCTCATTTATTATGTGGAAATGAAATAAAGTAGGCAAATAGAAGCTAATTAAATGAAACTTAAATAGATGATTATTAGTATCACTTTTGAATGTACGTTCTTTATTCATATTGTAAAAATCCTGACTTTCTAATGGTTTCATTAGAATGAATATGTCGGATAGAGATTTCTTATCAGATCTTTACCTAATGGGGCTCACACCTACATCCCTCTGCCCTTCTCACCCTGTACTTCATCTCTAGGACCATCTTCTCCACATCAATGCCTACAATTACCACCTGGACCACAGACCACCCCTTGAGCTTCAGGTTCTTCAGGTTCTTATTAATGACCTGACAACCTCACTTGGATTTCTCTTAGGAATCTCCAAGCCAATGCATTCAAACTGAATTAATAATCTGCCTTCTATAAACCTGGTCCTGTTTCAGCATATCCTATGTCAAGGAATAGTACCTAATTAAAAAAAATCTTTCCAGAACAACCACTGCTTATCATTTCTTCTGTCACAGCCATATTCTAAGTCACTACTATTCCTTCCCTGGACTGTTGTCAAAGCTAGCCCATCTTGCTATACCAACTTTTGGCCAACTCCAATCCACAGAGCAGCCAGAGAGATCCCTTTTTAAAAAGAAAAGTTTAATTATATCACTCTCCGCCTTAAAAGTCTTCAATGATCTTCCAAAATTCTTGACATGGTTTACAAGGTCGCTTTTATGCACCTCACTTTCCCTTGCCTGCTGTGCTTCACTGGCCTTTTGTCAGTTCCTGGAAAGAGGAATGCTTCTTCCTGTATTATAAACACTACATAAACATTACTCATTGTTAATAATAACCATAAGCAAAAACTGATCTTACATTCATTATATAACAGAGTTATTTGTTATAGAATAAAAATTTAACAGTCATGTCAATATAAATAATATATTTGTATACTAACAGCTTTATCAGATACTTATTTGGAAAAAAAAATTTTAAGGGAGAATTCACATCTCATTATCAAGTGTTCTGACCTTTGAACATGGTATCTTCTCATTATCAGGTATTTTATATGTCTTCTTAGCAATTTTTATAGTTTTCTCCCTAAAGTTCTGATAAACTTCTTGTCAGATTTCTTCTAAGGTACTTTATCTGCAAAGGATAGTTCTCTGTCTAGAGTCATTTCCTTCATTTATTACAGTAAATGGGAACTCTAGGAAAACCAAATAATTTTGATTGTCTCTTTAAAGGGATTATTTATTTATTCTGAGCTTTCCTTGTATGTTATATTCCTTGTATTATAGATACAATTAGATTAATTCCTGCTGTTTTATCGATTCCTATTTATCCTGTATCCTAATGATTTTTTAAATAAATTTTTTATTTATTTATGTATATATGTATGTATGTATGTATATATGTATGTATGTATGTATGTATTGGCTGCGTTGGGTCTTCCTTGCTGCGCGAGGGCTTTCTCTAGTTGCGGTGAGCGGGGGCTACTCTTCGTTATGGTGCGCAGGCTTCTCACTGCGGTTGCTTCTTTTGTTGAGGAGCACGCACTCTAGGCACGCAGGCTTCAGTAGTTGTGGCGCGCGGGCTCAGTAGTTGTGGCTCGTGTGCTCTAGAGCACAGGCTCAGTAGTTGTGGCTCACGGGCTTAGCTGCTCCGCGGCATGTTGGATCTTCCCAGACCAGGGCTCGAACCCGTGTCTCCTGCATTGGCAGGCAGATTCTTAACCACTGCACTATCAGGGAAGCCCCTAATGATTTTTTAAACTAACCTTGCTGACTGATGAATGGATTTTTTTTCCACCACTAGTTCAAATGTTATAAATTCTATTCATATTCATCTAAAAAATTTTTAAACATACACTTCTCAAATATGTTTTTCTGACAATATCTAGAGCAGTGTTTTCCAAGCTGTGGGTCATGACTCTTTAGTGGACCATGAAATCAGTTTAGTAGGTCAAAACTAGCATTTAAAAGAGAAATAAAATTTCATAAAAAATATTTTACTGAATCATAGTGATCCTCAGCAATAACTATATAGGATATATTAACTTTTTAATATCTAAATATTATTTTTGCTACATATAATAAGGTGAAGTATTGTTTTGTTTTATTTATTTACTTGAATATATATATGCCTGTATAGTTGTTTGTACTATAAAATGTTTTTTACTCATGGTCACAGCACAAAGTTTGAAAAACACTGATCTTGGAGTTAATCAGTATCTAAATCCTCCCAACTCCAAACAAAGCATAAAACATTACCACACTTAGTTTATATAGGTGCCCCACCCCCTCCCACTACCTACCCACCCCTGATTTGATAAGAATATTGAATTATACTTATTGTTATTTCAATTAAAAAAATGTAAGTACTCAACTTATTTAAACTTAACAGTAAGGTTGACTAATTTCTTTGCTCACCATGGCCTCGTGTTCCGGACAGATTGGTTCCGGTTTCATATATCTTCTTTCTGGATTACGTCCTTTAGTAATTCTTTCATAGTAGTGCTGTGGGTAGTAAACTTACTGAGTCTTTGAAATGTTGGCAAATAGCTTTATTTATTCTTCCTACTTTGGCTGGGTATAAAATTCTAGATTTTTTTTTAACAGTGATTCTCTTTGGGGTTAGGGGAGAAGAAGGAGGGAGCCAGGGACAATTGGAATTTGGGTTGATAGTTAAAGACTTTACCTACATTATTTAGAATTTTAAACTATTTTCATATATATATATATATATATATATACATATAGTTACTATTTTGTCACTACTTGTTAATATTTAATTTTTTTACGATTAAAAAATTTTTTAAAAGGAATGTACTTATATATTCATTGTGCAATTCATAAGTAAAAAGGACACTTACGTGTAAGGGAGAACTTGGATCAATTCTAAATCTTCTAGGACTTGGGCTTCTACCAAATTTGCAGCCATTGAAATACATACTCCAAGAACAGCCAAAAGAGAAGGAAGCTCCGCAAGTCTCTGGATCAATTCCTTGACATGTACAGGTACGACTGTAAGATGGTAATTGCAAGGGAATGAACTGATAAAGTAGGACAATACCTCAAATAGAACATTTCAGGTTCATATAACTATAGAAGTATAGATGGATAATGAAATCATTTTAACACATCTATTTTATTACTTATTTAAAGTAGTGTTATGTTAACAACACAAGGCTAACTGCACTTGAATATAACTAAATCTTCAATTGAAATGTTTGTTCAAGATTGTAAATACAAATAAAAGGCAACAAACTATACAGATCTGATATATCCATAACTTGTTTGACTTGGAGATGTCCAAGGAAGGGAAATAAAGGGCCTGGATTTTAATCCAAGATTGGTTTCCTGTCAGAAGTGAAAATTAAAGCATCTCATTATCTCTTTGGACTTCATCCTTCCTTTGTAAAATGACATTGATATACTCCTGTGAGGACTGATTAAGGATAATATATGTTGTATGTGAAATCACTTTGTCAATTTTAAAGAAAGCCTTTATAAATGTCATGAGAAAAAATTGAGGAGGAAGCTCGTTTCGTTCAGCGACTGAGTAATTTTATAACCTTGGGGGCATTTCTGAAACCCCAAAATGACTCTATACTAAGGATGACAATGATAAGAACATACACACAAAGATGTGAAACCAAAGAAGGAATGTACACCCTTGTGGTTCCTATTTGCATAATGCTTGAAACTTCTAATAGTATGGAATTAGTACTTATATGACTTAAAAATACAAACAGGGACTTCCCTGGTGGCGCAGTGGTTAAGAATCCCCCTGCCAATGCAGGGGACGCGGGTTCAATCCCTGGTCCGGGAAGATCCCACATGCCGCGGAGCAACTAAGCCCGTGCGCCACAACTACTGAGCCTGCACTCTAGAGGCCGTGAGCCAAAACTACTGAGCCCACATGTCACAACTACTGAAGCCCGCGAGCCTAGAGCCTGTGCTCCACAACAAGAGAAGCCACCGCAATGAGAAGCCCGGGCATTGCAACAAAGAGTAGCCCCTGCTCGCCACAACTAGAGAAAGCCCACACGCAGCAACGAAGACCCAGTGCAGACAAAAATAAATAAATAAATAAAATTAAATTACTTAAATTAAAAAAATACAATTAAAAAACACACGTTTTTAAAAAACAGTGAGTAAAAAGAATATAGAGATTTAGAGATCAAAACTGTAAGTATTTTTGGACTCCCCTGGTGGTCCAGTGGTAAAGAATCCACCTTACAATGCAGGGGATGTAGGTTTGATCCCTGGTCAGGGAACTAAGATCCCACATGTTGCGGGGCAGCTAAGCCCGGGTGCCACAACTACTGAGCTCACACACCTCAACTGGAGCCGGCGTGCCGCAAACTATAGAGCCCATGTGCTCTGGAACCTGCGCGCCACAACTACAGAAGAGAAGACCCACACGCCACAACTAGAGAGAAGCCTGAGAACCACAAGGAAGAGTCCGCGTGGCACAACGACAGATCCCGCACACCTCAAAGAAGATCCCACGTGCTGCAACTAATACCCAACACAGCCAAAAATAAATAAAATCTTTAAAAAAAAAAAACTATAAGTATTTTTAGTTGTGAAAGTCAGGAAAATGCCTGATATATTTGAATGTAAAAAGGATCATTTAAGACACTATGAAGGAAAAAAAGGAAGGAGGAATAGTTCAAATATTCTAACTTCCACTAAGATGGAATATATGCTTTTAAAGGGGCAAAAGATTACAATAACTTGAAAAGGAAGAAAAATAGGATATAAATAGGATCAAAGAAGGTAAATTTGAAATTGCAGAATTTCAAAGAAGTTGCCAAACAAGTAGAAAAATGTAGTTTAACTCTTAACTGTGAGACCTAAAAGTTTCTGTTAAACAGTCAACATCACCAATGATGAGACAAATAGACTTAAAATAGCTCCTAATATTATGGCCTGCCAATAATTCCTGAACTGAATTAAATCAGGAAGAAACAATCCTACAATCCAAAATTGAGCAACAGTCTACAAAATTAGCCTGTCCTTTTCAAAAAGGAAATGCCACGAAACACAAAAAAAGACTCAGATAAAAGGATTAAGAGACCCAAAAGACAAAACAACTCAATCCATAAATCATGGGTAGGGGAAAATTAGTATGAAGTATTACTGGAGAATAGATGATATTTGAATTAGAGAATAGCATTTTATCTAAGTGAAACTTCCTGGTTTTGGTAATTGTACTGGTGTTAAGTAAGAGAATGTCCTCATTCTTAGAAAACACCCTCTGAAGTATTATTTAGGGGGAAAAGTCATAAAGTTTGCAACTAGTTCACAAATTATTCTGAAAGAAAGTATAGAAAAGCAATAATGATAATAACATGTAAGCTTATGTGTATGTGTGACCATGTGTATAAGTGTATGTAACAAACCATTAACATTTGTGGAATCTAGGTAAGGGGTATATAAGAGTTCACTGAAATATTCTTGCATCATTTCTGTAATTATAAAATTTTTTAAAAGTGATAGGCTAGATCTACATTGAGTGATATAGAATAAAACTATTTATGAATTCTTGGGAAAAATAAGTTTATATGTATATCATTTAGAACTGTTTCTATACAAGAGGTATTTTATTATTGTGAATCCACATAATAAAATAGAAACATTAAAAATGATGTATACAACTAATATGTATAAAATAGATAAGTAATAAGAAAGTGCTATATAAAAAACAAATAAAATAAAATTCAAAAATTCAAAAAATAAGTGATGTATACATACTTGGGATTAGGAAGATTAACAAAAATATAATGAAATGATTTTAAACATAAAGGAATGTTCTGGAAGGTACACAAATAATCTTGTGTGGAGGTTAGAGAGTGAATGATATATATTTTGTTTATAATTTGTATAATGACATTTCTTTTAAAAAAGAAAGAACTTTATGAGGAAAACTACACAAAACACTCTTGAAGAACATAAAAGTAAACTTTAACAAATGGAAAGAAAAATCATATTATGGGACTGGAAGATTCAATATCATAACAATGTCAGTTTATTCTAAGTTAATTTAATGCAATCCCATTAAAAATACCATTAGATTTATCTTAAAACTAGACAAATTGATTATAAAGTTCATTTGGAAGCACAAACATAAAATAACAAAGAAAGCCTTGAAAAAGAGCAAAAATAGTGAGCTAGCCTTACCAAATATTAAAATATATTATAATGCCTCTATAACTTAAAAAATGTGGTACTAGTACGTGAAAAGACCAGACAGTGATACAGAATTCATATAAAAGAGAGGACTCCATTATATACAGTTTTTGTATAAGGTAGTATTTCAAATCAAGGGGAAAAGAAGTACTCTTTAGTAAGTAGTATTGGGATAAATGGAAAAAAGAATAGAAATGGATCTCCTCTTCCCACTTCCGTCCAGCATAAATTTGAAATGCATCAGAGATTTACGTTTTAAAAATTTCAAATTTCAACAATAAAAGAAAACATGGGTGAATTATTCTATAACTCACGTGAGAGAAAAATGTTCTTAAATACCACTCAGAATTCAGACACAATAAGGGGAAACACAGATACAATAAATTACATTAAAAAGAAAACGTGCAAAAGGTGACATAGCAGAAGTAAAAAGACAAATATCAAAGTGGCAAAAGCATTTAGAATTAAATCGCAAAGGGAGAGAAAAAATGAACACTCCTTTTGAAATAGGGGGTAGAATAATTAACAGATGGCTGACCATAAAAAAGGACAAAATAATGCCATTTGTAGCAACATGGATACAACTAGAGATTATCATACTCAGTGAAGTAAGACAGAAAGAGAAAGACAAATACCATATGATATCACTTACATATGGAATCTAAAGTACGACACAAATGAATAAACCTACAAAACAAAAACAGACTCACAAATATAGAGAACAGACTTGTGGTTGCCAAGGGGTGGGGGAGTGAAGAACTGGGACTTTGGGATTCGCAGATGCAAACTGTTATGATATAGGATAGATAAACAACAAGGTCCTCCTGCATAGCACAGGGAACTATATTCAATATCCTGTGATAAACCATAAATGGAAAAGAATATGTATATATATACATATATATATAACTGAGTCACTTTGCTGTACAGCAGAAATTAAAAACAACATTGTAAATCAATTATACGTCAACAAAATTTAAAAAATAAAAAACAAACAAATGGCAAATGCTCTTAACCATATGAAAAAATACTCTTATTCATAATATGAAAAATTCAAATCAACGTAAACTGATGACATTTATCCTCTATTAGATGGGCAAAAACTCAAGTTTGACAACATTGGAAAACTGTAGAAAAACAGATATTCTCTTACAGTGCTATAGGAAATGCAAAATTGTACAATTCCTTATGGAGGAGCTGTTCCTTTATAGAAAAACCTCTCTCCTCCAGACTCCAGGGGTGAGAAGGATCAGGTACCAAAGAGAGAAGCAAGAAAAGAATATTCTAAAGGAGAATATCCTAAAATGGTCTTAGCCCACTATGAAACCAAGTCTCTCGTTAAAGAAATGTTCACTCTTTAGTTGCACAATACCTAAAATTCTGTTCTCCCATATAACATATGTAGTTGGTAGTTAATTTAACATGATATAATAGACTGAATGGCAAAACAGTACAAAACAGATTTGATTACTTTTCATTGAGAGTGCATCTTCGGTCTGTGGGATGACCATTGTATGACTTTAGACTTTCCGTAAGCTGCGAGTACAATTTGTCAGCCATTGGAAGAGGGATGCCGTCCCATACCATGATGAGCACCACCATCACAGCTGTTGGACAGTGGTGGCCTGCACGCTGTCGAACGAGACAAAGAACTTTCTCTTCATCGCTGCTTCTTCTTAAAACCTGCCAAAGCAGAATGCATACATTTATGGAAAACAAGAAACCTAATATTGAATGCAGTGGATATTGTTTTTAAAGCTCTGCATCATTACATTTTAGTTTTCAAAAAATTACTATTTCTTAAAGGGTTGAAGCCTATAGGACCTTCAGGTGTTAGACTAGCTGCCTCCATACAACTCATCACAGGGTATCCAAGGTTACTTGACTAACAAACAACAGGCAGAAATCTGTGGAAGCAGTCTGTGTTTTATCTCACTGTTGATACAGTATTGCAAAACAGACAACAGAAGATCCCATGGAAAAGAGCCTAATTAACTCATCTGCTCTTCCATAATTGCCACAACAGGACAAATCTAGCTAGATAGAAATAACCTAGTACTCCCAGCATTAAAAATAAACTCTGAGCGCTGTATTTAGCATCTGAGGAAAGTTATTGATGTTTTCCTTGGGCAAATGGTTTTGCCATATAGAATAACTAATACATAAAGCAATACTCCTGCAATTCCTGTGATTTTTTTCCATGCTATCACAGGGATTTATCATACCCAACTTATCATAAGATTAAGGTGGTCTACCTGACATGGAGAATGCAAATTACAACAATTCATTTTGAATATTTATCCTTTTATCTTACACTGCATCATAACCATGAGTTGCTAAAAAAGGATTCCTAAGTATTTAAAATACTGCCCGGTGGTCTTAGTGTTTATCCTAGTGTTTATTTTTTTAAATTACATTAAAGTATTGACATCATGTAAAACCATCCAACTATGTTTAAAAGTCCCTCCATATATCACAAATTTACAGTGAGACTGATCACATTAATCAGTAAATGATGAAACTGCCCACCCCTGTGACGAGAATGGAGCACCCAATAGCATAATTAATATTCTATTTTTGTTGCTATAATATTACAAAAACTTGAGATGAAACTTCTTAAGATGTTAGTTACCCAATATCACTTTCTTCTGTCACTCCAGATGGTTAACAATCATTGCTACCAAGGCATCCCTTGAGTAGAGTTGGCTTTAGGACCTTCCCCCTAAACACAATTACGTATATTAAAATTTTTTTCTATATTTATATGTCCTTTAACAGCCAAATAAGAATACATTTGCTTTCAAATAAGCTCAAACGCAAAATGATATATTGTAGCAAACAAAATTACACCAGATAATCTTCATGTTGTCAAACCAACAAAGTTATAGTGATCCAGTCTTTGTGTGGGAAATGCTAAAATGCTTTGTATTCATTGTATTTGTGCCTTTGTCAGATCTTGCATATTTCCTTCAGTGAATAATGGAAAATTAAACATAATGAGTCTTTAAATTCAGATATAGGTTTAATAAGCTGCTTAAGTATTGCTATGATATGGATATTTATGTCCACCCCCCAATTCATAAAATAAATCCTACATCCCAACAATGGTATTAATAGGTGGGGCCTTTGGGAGGTGATTAGGTCATGAGGGGGAAGCTCTCATGAGTGGGATTAGTGTTCTTATAAAAGAGACCCCACAGAGCTATGCAGCCCCTTTTACCATGTGAAGACACAAAGAGAGGAGGGATCACCAATCATGCTGGCACCCTGATCTTCAAGTTCCAAACCCCAGAACTGTGAGATATAAATTTCTGTTGTTTATAAGCCACCCAGTCTGATATTTTCTCATAGCAGTCTAAAAGGAGTAAGACAAGTATTAAACCTGTATAAGACCTTTGAAAACTATAAACATATTATTAAAAGAAATTAAAGAAGACCTAAACAAATGAAGAGAGATACCAGTTTCATGAAAGAGTAATTATTATAATGACGTCAATTTCCCCGAAATTGGTTTCCAGATTTGATACAATTCCAATCAAAACCCTACCAGAGGGACTTCCCTGGTGGCACAGTGGTTAAGAAACCACCTGCCAATGCAGGGGATACAGCATCGATCCCTGGTCCGGGAAGATCCCACATGCCGCAGAGCAACTAAGCCAGTGCGCCACAGCTACAGAGCCCATGCGTCTAGAGCCCGTGCTCCTCAACAAGAGAAGCCACAGCAATGAGTAGCCCCCGCTCACTGCAACTAGAGAAAGCCCGCGCAGCAACAAAGACCCAACACAGCCAAAAATAAATAAATAAATAAATTCATATATATATATATATATATATACATAAAACCCTACCAGAATTAGTTTTGTTTGGGGGTGGAATTGACAAACTTGTTGCAAAGTTTATATGGAAATGCAAAGGACCAAGAAGTGACAAGGAACAAAGACAGAGAAAGTGATTTACCAGGTATCAAGATCTACTGTAAAGTTATAGTAATTAAGATACTCTAGTATTAGTGCAGTGACAGATAAGGAAATCAATGGAACAAAACAGATCCATATAAATATGGTCACCTGACGTATGACGAAGTTGACACTGCAGTGAAAGGCAAAAAAGCAGTCTTTCAATAAATGGTACTGGATAGACATCCATATGGGAAAAAAAAAAAGAATCTTGATGCCTACTTCACACGAGTGACAAGTTATATTGTAGATCTAACTATGAATGGTAATCATTAAGTTTTTAGAAGAAAACACCTTCAAGACCTGGAATAGGTATAATATTTTAAAATAGATTACCAAATTTAATAATCCTAAAGGAAAAAGTTAAGAAGCTGGAATATATTAAAATTAAGAACTTCTGTTTATCAAAAGCATTAACTAACAAAAGATTAAGTATAAAGGCAATCAATACAGTGGGAGACATAGCTGCAATATATATAATCGACAAACTATTCTTACCCAAAATATATAAAGAACCTCCTCAAATGAGTAATAAAAGCAAAGTAGAAAACTGGCTGAAAAACTTAAATAGGCTCAACACAAGACAATATCCAAACAGATGTTGAGCATATGAAAATATGCTCAACATTATTAGTCATCTAGCAAAGTAAAAAAACTTAAAAGCACTACATATGTGGGTGGGATTATAAAACGGTGTAACTGCCATGGAAAACAGTATGAAGTTCCTCAAAAAATTAAAAATAGAACTACCATATGACCAAGCAATCCCACTTCTGAATATTTATCCAAAAGAATTGAAAGTAAGGTCTGAAACAGATATTTGCAAACCCATGTTCATTGAATCACACAAAGGAATATTATTCAGACTTAAAAAGTAAGGAGGGCTTCCCTGGTGGCGCAGTGGTTGAGAGTCCGCCTGCCGATGCAGGGGACATGGGTTCGTGCCCCGGTCCAGGAAGATCCCACATGCCGCGGAGCGGCTGGGCCCGTGAGCCATGGCCTCTGAGCCTGCGCATCCGGAGCCCGTGCTCCGCAACGGGAGAGGCCACAACAGTGAGAGGCCCGCGTACCGCAAAAAAAAAAAAAAATAGTAACGAAATCCTGTCATGTCGCAAATGGATGAACCTTGAGGACATAATTCAAAGTGAAATAAGCCCATCATAAAAAGACAAACACTTTATGATTTTACTTACAAATCATATTCAAAGTCATAGAAACATAAAGTTGAATGGTGTTAGGGGCTAGGGTCATAGAAAAATAGGAAGTTGGTTTAAGGGGTATAGGGTTTCAGATTCGCAACATGAAAATGTTCTGGAGATCTGTTTCACAACAATGTGAATATACATAAAACTACTGAACTGTACACTTAAAAATGGTTAAGATGGTAAATTTTACATTATGTGTTATTTTACCACAATAAAAAAGAGAGGAAAGTCTTCTTTAAAAAAGCACTACAGACCCAGGAGATTGTCTAAAATGGAAAAGATAGAAAATGTCAAGTGTTGATAAGAATGTAGAGCAACTGGAACAGTGGTACATTACTCATATGAGAACGTAAAAAAACGATAACCACTTTGGAAAACTATGTGTTAGTATCAACCGAAGCTGCACATATGCATATCCCGCCCCCTCAGCAATTCCACTTCTAGGTATATAACAAACAGAAATGTATTCTTATATTTCCTAAAGATAACACCACTATTGATGACGACCCAAAACTGGTAAAAACCCAAATGTTAACCACCAGAAGAATGGCTCAACGAGATGAGAATGATCTACAGTTACAAGCAACATGGCTTAATCTCACAATTATAATACCGTGAGGAAGACGACAGAAGACATATGCAGAAGAATACATATTAGAAGACTGCATTTACATACAAAGTTCAAATCAGGCAAGATTAATCAATAATGTTAGAAGGCAGGAGAGTGGTTACTCTTTAGGGAGTAGCTAGTGACTGGGAGGGTGCAAGAGTACTTCTGTAATATTGACTGCTGGTTACACCAGTGTGTACACTTTAGAAAAATTCTGTGACCTTAGGGATTTCTGAAGTCTTCTGCATGTATATCACACTAAGATTAAGAGTGTACCTTAACCTAAATTTAAAACAAAAAACAGAAACTGCTTAGTCATTTACTGGCTCAGGACATTGTAGCAATTTTATTAACCTTTCTATAGGAGCACAGACCTCGGATCTAATAAATATTACCCACTATTTTATGTCTCTTTATTACTGCATACTTGGCTCCTGAGCACAGAACTCAGCTTATGGGAGGCTCTCGTCAAATATTTGTTGAACGAACCCACAAAAACCCAATGTGGTTGCATTTTATGAAAATTTCAAAACCAAGTGATACTATTAATAAGACAGAAACTCTCATTTCAGAAACAGATTTTAAGTGATACGAATAGTCTAAATTTTAAAACTTTTGAAGATAACCACATTTTTTTTGTAACTGGAACAAGTATTGATTGGTAAGCTATTGAAGCTGGGGCCTCATGACAGACTCACTTTATAAATGTATTTGTATTATTTTATTTTTGGCTGCATTGGGTCTTCATTGCTGAGCGCTTACGTTCTCTACTTGCGGCGAGTTGGGGCTACTCTTCGTTGCGGTGCGTGCGATCTCATTGCAGTGGCTTCTCTTTGTTTCGGAGCACGGGATCTAGGCACACGGGCTCCGTAGCTGTGGCTCACGGGCTCTAGAGAGCATGAATGGGCTTAG